CGCAGGTTCAATTCTTCAAGTTGTCACAGATATTGTTCACAGGTAAGTTGGGGAACTAGGGATCGAACCCTGGGTCCTGCATCAGCTACTTCGAACTGGTGAATACCGTTTCAGTTTTGCCTTGGGGTTTAAGGCCCCTTTGATCATTTTTTTTTTATTTTTTTTTGCTGTTGGTTTGGCTTGTTCCTCACAATTGACTTGCTGGGGGAATATGAACCAGACTGTCGCTCCCCAGAATTGTAGGAGCCAGAACCGGGAGGTTCTGGTATAATTAAAAAAAAAAAAAAGGATAGTGAGAGGGAGAGAGTGAGGGAGAGCGAGCCAAGTCAGAGAGAGAAATAAGACTAGCAGAGATAGAGAGGGTGAGAGAGAAGCCATAGCCGCTGTCTGGTTGAGATTCATTGTGTGTGTGTGTGCGGCAGAGCCTCCGAAGACAAACACTTCTTGTATATTGATAGTAATTTTGGGAGATGACATCTTCATGTGTGGATTGTATCTCGGTTTGGCTTCTCGCGTGTGAACTCTCATATGAATGTTCATTGATGTATGCGAGTTGGAGAGCTTGACGAGTACTTGGTTCATTTCACTATGTTTTAAATTTCTAAAATGGGGAAAAAAAAATAAATTGTTTTTTTTTTTTTCTTTCGGGACGTTTTGGCTGGGACCCTGTAGAGTCTGCTGACGACGTTCATAGGGGATGAAATTGCGGCAATTCAATTCGAATTTCAAAATTACCTGGTCAAAGGGGTAATGTCCAACAGCTGAAAATCCTGAAACGCAGCATCAATCTTCAAGGCACACTGTGGTTAACGGTGGACCAAGCACAGAGCGATTTTGGCTAATCGTTGAACAAGGATATGGCATGTAAAGTTGAATAATTCACCTGTCTGCGAAGTTCTTCAACTTGCTCCCTGAGCTCAGCATGATGCCTGGCCGCTAGTTGTTGCTGCACGGTCCTGTTGAGGACAAGCTGCATTCCAGCCTTTGATGACTCTGGGTTCTGAACGTATGAGGCAAAAGACAAGCATGTAGACATTGTAGAGTGTAGACCAAGCTGTCAGTGTACAGGTCATCGTAGCATCTATGTATTGACTCTTGAGTCATTTTGCCGGTACATAACATGTAAGAGCGGCAATATGAAGCACCTGCAATTACACAAGGAAGTCAATAATGAGGATTCATTGAAGAGTCATTGAAGACTGAAAATGCAATTGTCGACCAAACTGTCTCATTTTCTTTAGCATAAGAATCCTGAAACACGGTCCCTCACATGGTTTACACACACTACGCTTCCCTCCATGACAGTTGAAGGAACCTGAGACAGCCGCATTGATTGCTTCCCGAAAGGAGGGATCCAGCCCCGCTCCAGCCCTGTTCTTTCTGGTCATGAGCATTCTTTTGACGCTAGACAGCTGCACCTTTGAGCTTCTCCTCTCCGCCGTTCTCAGCTGCCTGATTCTCTTGTGAAGTTCTAGAGCTGCTGCAAATGAATTGGTTGTCTCTGCCCGTCTTGAAGTTGGTCTCCTTCCTGGATCAGCAGTTCTGTTGTTGCACTGCCTTCTCTGTAGGATGCCAGTTTCTTGGCCGACAATGCTGTTCCTATGGCTTAGCCCCTTCTTTACAGAGCGTCCCATTTCCTCCATCTCCACCTGTTGTGGTAGTGATCCTTCCTCGAACTAGCCCGGTTGCCATCTGGGTCTGGTCAAGAGTGACCAGGCCCTATTTACCATCGTAACCATCCCTCCACCCTCATCCTTACTTCCCATCCTCCTAGCCATCCAAGTCCCCACGCACTTGAAAGGCCCCTTGAGGACCAGGTTCCTGATGCTGAGAAAGGCCACGCTTTGGACAATCTGGAAGCGAAGGTGCTCGATGACTATTGAAGATGTTGAAATAGACAAGGAACAGGCATAGGTTTCCCTCACAAATGGTGGAAACGGAGATCGGATGCAATAGGCAGAAGACCAAAAACACAGGGCGCCCTGGGTCACTAAGGGCGGGCTTCAAAAAGAAGACCTTCATCAGGGAATGGTTACAAGGCAGAAAGGTGGCAACTTTAGTGGACAACAGGCTGCAATGGAAGAAATGGGACCCTACATGATACTTGCCGGGCAGACCCTGCGTGGAACTACCAGAAGGCAAGACCAGACAGCCTTGACAGTGATCAGATCTACAAATATTACGGGAGAAGGAGATCGGTATACGTGAGAGTTTAGCCCTCTCACGAGCAACCCACAATAGTGAGCTGTAAGAGAGGGAAGTGTATAGGAGGTCTGTACCCAGCCATCAGCCAGCCATTTCTAAGGCGTATGTGGGCAGTGCCGTTTCCACTGTATCAGGACTTAATCAGGCCAGGTATAAAGTACTATAATCAAATGGGACGGACAGTGGGGGGACAGGTAGATTTTGAAAGGCGAAAAGGGAGAGATAGAATACAGTTCCTAGCAGCGGAAACACAGCAGCAGCTGTGTTTTTGCACAGCTCATAATGAGTGGTCTGGTTGTGACTACTCGAACCCGAAATGTAAGGAGTCTAAGGACTGGTAATTATTGGCAAGACATAAAAGGGCATTGCAAGTCAACATCCCTGTCTAATGAGGAGGCTACACTAGGTAGGGGAGAACAGGGGTTGAGGGGTAGTACATTCTCCCTATCATAGGGAATAAATCAATGCTGCTGCCTCAGGGTCCCTCGACCGTAATGAAGGGAACCGTCAGGTGAGCTACCTGATGAAAGGGACAAGTGGACCCGCTTTCCAGTCTTATCAATAAAGCAGGCACCTTCAAAATAATAACAACAAGATGGTCCAGTGTGGCTCCGCCCGCATCAGGAAAAGGGAGACTGGAAAGGCACAAATAGTCGATGGAGAGAGATGAATTAGAAGCGGTGTGAAGAAGTCAAGGTTCAGGAGAATGAGCAGTTGTGACCGGTACAGAAAAAGATGGGTGTTAAGGTGGCTGTTACAGGAATTGAGATGTTGTATAGCAACTGACCTTGCTGTTGAGGTGGCATGTCAAGAATTATAGTGATACCAAAGGATTGCAGGCGGGCAAGAAAAACAGCAATGGAAGTATGATGATGAAACGGTTTTCACCTTTTAGCAGTAGCGGATGCAGTACCCAGGGTTCGATCCCTAGACCTCACCCTACCCATGTACAGTATCTGTGTAGACCCCGAGAATTGAACCTGTGACCTGTGTATTCGTAGGCAGTTGGTAGACCTGTCGTAGGTCCATAGACAGCAGGGGTTCGATCTGTAGGTCTATAGCGTAGGAGTSTTAGTSAGTTCYRGAAGCTTAGCTGTAGACCTTCTAGAAGATAGGCAAGTGGGCAAGTGGTCAAGTGGCGAGGCAAGTGGTGGACTAAACCGCAGTGCAACAGCAGTACAACGTCSGTAGGATGGCGGTGAGTCCACAGTCAGWCAGYGGAAGGTCCAGTCAGTCCCAGTCCGGTCCAGCAAGTACCACACGGGGACTGTGAGCACCAAGGGCCGATGGCAAAGGGCAGACCTACGAGTTTCTGAAGTATAAATCAAGAGGCAGCGCCCAGCCATTCATTCATTCCTGCGTGAGCCATGCGGAAGCGCTGCCACAGCGACTTGTGCAAGGAGGTCTGCAGATGAGCCCGGAGGACACAGTGGGCAAGAGAGAGGGAGTTAGTATAGCGATAGGTTAGATGCAGCGACAGCTGCCATAGCCGTAGTTAGTAGTGAGTGTGTGTGTGTGCTCGAGTGTTAGAGTGATGCGTGTGGGATATCCAGGGTGATCCCGTGTATGTGAACAGTGAGATGTTTGGGCGCTGAACTCGCCATAGCTAATTGAGAGTGAACTCGTATCTGAAAGC